ACAGAGTGGGAAGGACTCTGAGCAGGACTTTACAGCTGACAGGAAATCTCCATTCAGGGAGTCTTTACCCAGGGAAACTTGGTGAGGTAGAGATGGAAGGCATGTGGTTTCGTTTTGTTTGAAATGGCTTCAAAGTGATTGATTTTTGGTGATTTAAATGGACCTCAGTTCTCCATAATTTACAGCCGTTCAGAATCACACCCTCTGTCAGTTCCGTTTCTTTCTCTGCAGTTTAAAATCACACTGTCCACCAGTCACAGCTCATTGAATGGCTCACTCTCAGAATCAGTCTCTTTGTAAGTGTCTAAATAAATCACTCATAAATCACAGCTCGTACAGGCTCTTATCTCTATCCGCTTCTCCTCAAGTCTTGGTCTATCTCTCTCCTCCCTTGTTGTTTGTCCCTGCTGGGGAAACTGTGTGGGGGATTTTAAAGGAGACACGTTGTCTGGCGTGGAAGATACACCAATCAGCTGTGTGGTGGATTTAAATTTAAATTTAAATGAAGGTGTGTTGCTTGTGCTCCACTGGCTCTGGCTAGCTTGAGATCTGCCAGTGTGGTATATACATTATAAATAAATGTCAGTTACAAAGTGCCCAAATTTTTATCACATGATGGTGGGAATGCTGCGTGAGTTGTAGTGTAGTTTTCAGTGCCATTGTAACTTTGAACTGTTGTATATCTATGAATGGTTGTAAGTCTAGAGGTACTTTTAGTACCAGTAGAGTTAGGATGGTGACATCTGGGCAAGAATTTTCAAGAATTATGGCAGATCACTTTTGCTAGCACTGAGGACTATAATGAGAAGGGAAATGTCTGGTAATACAGAACAGAGGATTCTCAGTTTGAATCAGATGTGAGCCTATAAACAGGAATTGTGGACAAATAATGGGGTGAATATGTCAAAGTCAAAGAGCTGCCACTCCACTTTCAATATTATGTGTTGGGAAATGGTTTATCTCCAGCCACTTTGTTACTGTATTTAACTCACTGCTGTGAATCCACCATTTCTTAGAAATTTCTGTCTTTGCTTTGCAGGCTCTTTGGTGGCTTGCTATTGGATATAAAACGGAAAGCTCCTTGGTACTGGAGTGACTATAAAGATGCTTTGAATTTGCAGTGTTTAGCTTCCTTTCTCTTCCTGTATTGTGCCAGCATGTCTCCTGTGATCACCTTTGGGGGGCTGCTTGGAGAAGCAACAGATGGACAAATTGTAAGAACATTTCCCCCCTTCCTTTTATGTTTTATGAGTAATTGTCAAGATAAGTGAGAACAAAACCAGCATTACAAAAGCAGTGGACATTTAACCTCATCACTGCTGGTCTGTATAGTATTTTGCATTATTAGATCACAGTTCTAACTATTGGTGTTTTTTTTCATCAAGGTTTTAAGTGGATGGCGATCAATCCACATACACAGACTTTTACAAGGGCCCCAGATCTTTCTGTACTTCCTATGTTTTCCATCTTTCTTTTTTTTTTCTTATAGGAAGACGATAGAGTAGCTTCAGAGTGTCTTCTGATTAGAAATACAAGGCACTCAACGCAAAAATACCCCATTCATTTTCTGTGTCCTG